GAGTGTCCCACAAGAGTGTCCCGCAACAGTGCCCCGCAAGAGTGTCTCACAAGAGTGTCCCTTAAGAGTGTCCCACAAGAGTGTCCCGCAACAGTGTCCCACAAGAGTGTGCCCCAGAAGAGTGTCCCACAAGAGTGTCCCACAAGAGTGTCCTACAGGAGTGTCCCACAAGAGTGTCCCACAAGAGTGTCCTACAAGAGTGTCCCACAAGAGTGTCCCACAAGAGTGTCCCACAAGAGTGTCCGACAAGAGTGTCCCACAAGAGTGCCCTACAAGAGTGTCCCACAAGAGTGTCCTACAAGAGTATCCCACAAGAGTGTCCTACAAGAGTGTCCCACAAGAGTGTCCCACAAGAGTGTCCCACAAGAGTGTCCTAGAAGAGTGTCGCGTAAGAGTGTCCCACAAGAGTTTCCTACAAGAGTGACCCACAAGAGTGTCCCACAAGAGTGTCCTACAAGAGTGTCATTTGGACATATGTAGCTTTTTGAACGTGTTTGCATTCGGGTTCGTGGGCTCCATCTTGTTTTTTCCTTTCGTACTTACTTTCCATTCCTTTCCTTTCCCTTTCGTTTCCTTAACTTTCCTTGCCTTGCCTTTCCTGTTCCTTTCCTTACCTTTCCTTTCCTTTCTTTCCTTTCATTTCGTTCTTTGCCGGCCCTACCTTGACTTGCCTTTTCTTTTGTGGGTCCTCCTTCTAGTTAGTCTTTTCTTAGTCAATGATCCGTGCGCGAGGTTCTGGAAGATTCAAACCACCCCCCTGAATAATTCTATCGATCCTCCTTAGAACAGGCCTCATGAACGGCACTCAAACATTCCTATGAACAAGCCATATCTCTCTGTTTGTGACATATGTTTTGACTAGAACAGAGTATCGTCAACCATGGGCAAAACAACTTGTACCTGATCATGTTTGCACCACGAGGACTAATAGCTTAATAGCTAATGTGATACCTTACCAGGATTGTATGATGAGATCTGAGATGCAAGAGAAACATTAACCAGGAACCGAAAGAGGATCCTGCAAGAAGAGCATTTCTCGAGAGAAACAACAGGAACTGACTGGAACCGATTCGAGCTGCAGTGCAAGTGCCGGAAGATCGACGTGCCTATTGGCCAGTCCCCATACAAGCACTTGGTCCCACCATTCTTTCAAGACAGCTGCCTCCACTAGTTCTCAAAAGTTACTCTCTGGATGAATAGCCAACTGAATGATTTAAGACAGATTGCATGAAAGCCTCCAAGAAAACAAGCACGGAGGATCTATCTTGAAAGTCAATTGCTGGCAAGTATGCCATTGATTAGGCAAGAGTCGTCTCAATTTCAAGACATTTTAAGTTGTTAAATAAAAGGAACGAGTGTGTCAATCAATATATGAAGTTTCACTCGAACAATAATGTAAAGAATTGATGCACAGAATCTAAATACAACGAACACCAAATCAAGATTACAATGAACAAGTGAACAAGTCCTGAAAGTACCAATGGACAATACCTGTAAATTTTTTTGAAATTGCCAATGAAGATAATGAAGATGCAAATGATCATAAAATGACAAACAAACATAATCCAATGGTTTCCAATGTGTGGCGCGCAAAGAATCACATAATAGTTGAAACTGAACAACAGAAGGGCAAGAAGACTTCTTTCCCATCGGTTTTCCCAAATAATGAACGACAACTTGTGACCCCAGCGATATGATGCGAAGTCATGTGTAGACAGCGAAGAAAGAAGACACTGCTGCTGCGATATAAGCTGACACTGGGGTCGACGCTGAGTTCACATACAAGGCTACCTGCCAAACGATTTAATTGGCTCGACTCTACTCCTCCTTTGGATTTGACACATTGAATTGAATTGTTTTTTGGTTCTTTAGGTGCGATCGTTCGCGTGGACCAGCATTCAGTCCGGCAAGGAAATTGATGATCAAGTACAAGGAGGATCGCGTGCCAGCGCTTTCACCTGGTCATTTGTTGCTGATCAGGCGTGTTTTAATCCACGGACAGTCACAGGTCAGAAAGTCAAAGGCATTTTGATGTAGACGTGAATGTTCACCCCTGTAGGTGGGCTTTGCTGCTGGCCGTGCCCTACTTCCCCTATTCTCAATGATTCTCGGCTAGCTTGGGTGATGTCTCCAACAAGTGGTAGGGGGCCTTGCATATGGCCTCATGTGTCAAGGATTGCCTTATTCGTGGTCTGGCCTTCACTGATGACTTTGCCGCTTCTGTGCCGCGACAGAACATGAAATGACTTAGTTGTATGCTGGAGAAGTTTTGCTTCATCAAGATTTATGCAAGGCTTGCTGGATTGTCCTTGCATCACATTCCAGTGGATCGCTTCCCGCCAGCTTCTGAGTTTGAAATTGATTGATATACGCGCCTGCTTTGTAGATGTATTCCCCAAACAGTGTGGGCACACTGAGGGGTTCTTACGGTAGGTGAAAAGCAGCTGGGGCGCAGCTGGGGCTTAGATCGCTGAAGCGCGCGGGCGTGTGCGGCTGATTCGCTGCTATTTACAGTGCATTCATGACTCTCGACATCGTCCATGTGCACTTCGACTGCGCAGCGGTGCTTCAGGCGACTGCGCTCTCTTTGTGGCGCCGTGCGCATATGGTGGTCACTTTTCGTGACAGGTGCAAGGGAAACCTCGTGTTTTGGTGCTCCAAAGTCGACTTTTCGTGACAGGTGCAAGGGATCGGAGCTGTTTTTCTTCGAAATGCAGTTTTCGTGGCAGGGTGCAGCACTTTGGACATGGTGGTGATCGTCGAAGAGTTCTGATTTCGTGACAGGTGCAGTGAACTGTGACTTTTGGACATGTGGCTCGTTTGCAGATTTCGTGGCAGGTACAGCACTTGGTGAACCTCGAGGTGCAGACTTCGTGGCAGGTGCAGCACTTGGTGAACCTCACAGTGTAGATTTCGTGGCAGGCACGCTTGGTGAACCTCGAAGTGCAGATTTCGTGGCAGGCGCAGCGCTTGGTGAACCTCGAAGTGCAGATTTCGTGGCAGGCACAGCACTTGGTGAACCTCGAAGTGCAGATTTCGTGACAGGTACAGCACTCTGTGAACCTCGAAGTGCAGATTTCGTGACAGGTACAGCACTTTCTGAACCTCGAAGTGCAGATTTCGTGGCAGGCGCAGCGCTTGGTGAACCTCGAAGTGCAGATTTCATGGCAGGCACAGCACTTGGTGAACCTCGAAGTGCAGATTTCGTGGCAGGTGCAGCGCTTGGTGACCCTCGATGTGCAGGTTTCGTGACAGGCACAGCGCTTGGTGAACCTCGAAGTGCAGATTTCGTGGCAGGCACAGCACTTTGTGACCCTCGAAGTGCAGACTTCGTGGCAGGTACAGCGCATGGTGAACCTCGAAGTGCAGATTTTGTGGCACGTGGCAGGCGTAGTACTTTGTGCTCTCAGATGCTCACTCTCTCACACTCACACTCCCTCACACTCCCTCACACTCCCACTCACTCTCACTCACACTCACACTCTCCCACTCTCACTCTCACTCTCGCGCTCGCTCACGCTCACGGTCACGGTCACGGTCACGGTCACGGTCACGGTCACGGTCACGCTCACGCTCACGCTCACGCTCACGCTCACGCTCACGCTCACG